AATCCATATTCAGTTAATTGTTGTCTATGGTAAGATAGAAGTCTGGTTTTATTCTTCTACATGTGGCTGTCCAATTCTCCCAGCACCACTTACTGAATAGAGGGTTGTTTCTCCAGTGTATATTTTTTGTCGTTTTTCTCAAAGAACAGTGGGTTGTAGGTATTCGGCTTTATTTCTGTGCTCTGTATTCTATAACATTACTCTTTTTCTGTAACAGTACCATACTGCCTTTCTTACTATATCTGTGTAGTGTAATTTGAAGTCAGGGAATGTGGTGCTTCCAGGTTTGTTCCTTTTTCTTATGATTTATTGTGCTATTCAGGCTCTTTTTTGATTCCATATAAATTTTAGGATTTAAAAAAATATATGTAATCAATTATGTTGGTTACTTGATAGAAATTTCATTGAACCTGTATATTGCTTTGGGCAGTGTATTAGTTCATTTTGCATTGCTATAAATTAATATCTGAAGCCAAGTTATTTATTAAAAAGAGGCTTCTTTGGCTGACAGTTCTGCAGGCTGTGTGAGAAGCATGGCACCAGCATCCGCTTCTTGTGAGGGCCTCAGGGAGCTTACAATCATGGTGGAGGGGAAAGAGGAAGCAGGCTGTGTCACATGGTAAGACAGGAGACATGAGAGATTTGGAGGGTTGCCAGACTCTTTTTAATAATTAGATCGCAAACTACCTAATACAGAAATAATTTACTAATGGCCACGGGGTAGATACCAAGACATTCCTGAAAGATCTTTCCCCATGACCCAAAACCTCCGAGTATGCCCCAACTCCAACACTGTGGATCACATTTCACCATGAGATTTGCAGGCAACAATCATCTAAGCTGTATCATTTCACTCTTGTGTCCCCTGATCTTATGTCCTTCTTAGGCTGCAAAATCATCTTTTTAGAAAATATATATAGTTCCCAAAAGTCTTAACTTGGTCAACCTCAACCTGAAAGTTCCAAAGTCTCATGTGAGCCTTAAGGTAACTTCCCCCAAGCTGTGAGTTTGCAAAATGTTTTAAATAATTATTTACTTCCAAGGTGCAACAGTGCCACAGGCATTGGGTAAATATTGTCAACACAAAAGGAATAAATTGGTGAAAGGGATGGCCAACAGCACCCCACCCACACACACACACCTAAAGCCTATTAGGGCAGATATTAAATCTTAAAGCTACAAAATAATCTCACTTGACTTTATGTTCTTCAACCAGAGCACACTGGGACAAAGGCAGTCCCAATAAGCTCAGGCATCTCATCCCTATAGCTGGGCACAGCCCATGGTGCTGCTTTCACAGGTTAGAGTCAAGTGCCAGAAGCTTTTCCAGGCTGAGGTGCAAGCTGCCTTTGGCTCTACCATTCTGGAACCTTAAGGGTGTGGCTGCATTCCCACAGCTCTACTATGAAGTGCCCTAGTGGGGACTCTGAATGGGGGTTTCAACTCCATCTTTCCCCATCTTTGACACTGTCCTAGTAAAGGCTGTCTGTGGTGGCTCCACTTCTGCAGCAGGCTTGTTCCTGGGTGTGCAGGGCTCTCTACACATCTGAAATCTAGGTAGAAGCTGTCCAGCCTCCTTCACTCTTGCATTCTGCATGTCTGTCAGAATGCACTTACCCAGGCACCATTTACTGAATATACAGTGTTTTTTCCCAATTGCTTGTTTTCGCCACCCTTAAAAAAATACTAAATTGTTATATTTGTTTTCTATTTTGATCAATTTTTTTCTGCATGTCTGCTCTTGTACCAGTACCAAGCTGGTTTTGTTACCATGACATTACGGTGTAAAGTCGTTATCATGATGCCTCTGGCATTGTTCTTTTTGCTTAGCATTGCTTTAGCCATTCAGGATCTTTTTCGGTTCCATATAAATTTTCAATTAGATTTTTTTTCTGATTCTGTGAAGAACGATGGTGATAGTTTTATGTAAATAGCATTGAATCCATGAATTCCTTTGGGCAGTATGACAATTTTTACAATATTAATTCTTCCAATCCATGAGAATGAAATGTTTTCCCATTTATCTGTGTCATTTATGATTTATTTCAGCTGTGTTTTGTAGTTCCCCTTGTAGGGATCTTTCACCTTTTTTATTATCTGTATTCTCAGGCATTTCATTTTCTTTGTGCATATTGTAAGTGGGATAGGATTGTGTTCTTGATTTTACTCTCAGCTTGGATGTGGTTGGGGTTTAGAAATGCTGGTAATTTTTGTCCCTTGATTTTGTATCCTGACACTTTAATAAAGTTGTTTATTCTAGAATTATTTCGGCAGTTTTTAGGATTTTCTCGGTGTAGAATTGTATCATCAGCGAAGACGGACGGATTGACTTTCTTTCCTATTTGGATCCTGTATGAGTCCATTCTCACACTGTAAAGAAACACCTGAGACTGGGTAATTTATAAAGACAAGTGTTTTAATTGGCTCACTTAGTATGATGTTGACTGTGGGTTTGTCATAGATGGCTCTTACTATTCTGACGTATGATTCTTTGATGGCTAGTCTGTTGAGGGTTTTTATCATGAGTGGATATTGGATCCTATCAAAAGCTTTCTCAGTATCTATTGACGTAATCATATGGTTTTTGCGTTTATTCTGTGTATATGGTGAATCACAGTCACTGTGGATATTGAACGAGCCTTGCATCCCAGGGGTAAAGCCCAGTTGATCATGATGTATTGTATTTTAAAGTGCTTCTGGATTCCATTTGCTAGTATTTTGTTGAGGACTTTTAGGTCTATGTTCATCAGGAATATTCATCTGATATTTTCTTTTGTCATTGTGTCTCTTCCTGATTTTGTGTGCCAAGGACACACAGTAGAGGAAAGACAGTCTTTTCAATAATGGTGTAACAACCAGGCATCCATATGCAAAAGAAATAAAATTAAGCCTTCTCTAACTCCATATAAAAATCAACTAATGGGTATAATACCTGAAAACATAAACTCATCAATGACAAGGAGGAAAAAAATCTTCCTGCCATTGATTCGGAACTGATTTCTTTGAATTTAATACCAAAGCACAGGAAAAACTATATGCAATTATGTATCTGACAAGAAGTTCTATCCAAATGTATAAATAAACCATACAACTCAATAGCAAATAGCAAATGACCTGATAAAAAAAGGGCAAAAACCTGGATAGATTTTTTTTCAGAAGACAAACACATAGCTAATAGTAAATGAAAAGGCTCTCAACATTCCTCATTATCAGGGGAATTCAAATCAAAAGCACAATGCGATATCACCTCACACAAGTTAATATGGCTATTATCAGAAATGAAAAAGACAACAAATGTTAGCAAGAATGTGGGGAAAAGGGAACATTTTGTGGTGTGATTGATTACAAGTTGAAAATAAAGCTATCATGTCATCTGGTGATTCCACTTCTTGTTATATATTCAAGGGAAATAAAATTATTTTGCCAAAGACATATTTATTGCAAGATTATAAATAACAGTGTGGATTTGTAAAATAAATTAATGACTGTAAATTGGATGAATGTACAAAGAAAATGTGTATACTTAAATAGGAATTTTATTTGGCTTTGAAAACAAGGAAATTCTGACATTTGCAACAACACGGATGGGCCTGGAGGACATAGTGCTAAGTGGAATAAGCCAGATGCAGAAAGACAAATGCTTCATGACCTCATTTACATGTGGGATCTAAACTATCCAAGTTCTTGAAAGCAGAGGGTAGGATAGTGGGTCCCAGGCCTGTGAGGAGAGGGAAATCGGGTGATGTTGGTCAAAGGTTACAGTTTCAGTTGTGCAGGGTGAATGAGTCCTGGAGATCTAATATACAGCAATGTTCCTATAGTTAATACTGTATTGTAAAAATGAGATTTGCTAAAAGGGTAGATCTTAGGTGTTCTCATAAGACACATACACACACACAGTAAAAATAAAATGGTAGTTCTATGAGATGATAGATATACAAATTACCCCAACCATGATGAGCATTTTTCAACGTGTATCTGATATGGTTTGGATCTGTGTCCTGGACCAAATCTCATGTTGTATTATAATCCTCAATCCTGAAGGTGGGACCTGGTGGGAGGTGACTGGGTCATGGGGTGGGTCTTTCATGAATGGTTCAGCACCAACTCCTGGTGCTGTTCTCATTACAGTGTGTGGGTTCTCACAAGATCTGGGTGTCTAACAGTGTGTAGACCTCCCCCACTTCCTGTGGCTTCCGCTCTGGTCATGTGATGTGCCTGCCCCTCTTTGTCTTCTGCCATGATTCTAACTTTCCTGATTCTCCCCGAAGGAGAAGCCACTGCACTTCCTGTACAGCCTGCAAAACTGTGAGCCAATTAAATATCTTTTTATTTTTTTTTTAATTTCTGAGTCTCAGGCATTTCTTTTTAGCCATGTGAGAACGGACCAACACCACATCAAAACATCAAGTGGAGCACTTTAAATATATACTTTTAAAAAATCTTCTATTATACCTCAATACAAGTGAAAAAAAATTAAACTAATAAAGAAATGCATACTTCATATTTTCCCAATAAAAATGAGAAAACATAGAAAAACTTATGTTAAGATACTTGCAACAGCTTTGCTTACAATATTCATAAACTGGAAACAAATTTAAAGTCCATCAACAGAAAAACAGATCAATGTATTGTCATTTATTTACTTAATGGGCTGACTCAGATATAAAATCTCTGTCCTTTCTGTCTCCATATATAGATGAAAACTTTGAGGTTTCATATCAGAGTCAGTTCATTAATTGAATAAATGACAATATGTTGATCTAATTTTATACATTAAATAGCATGAATTAACCTCAAATATAGCAAAAGTAGCCATGACCAAAAAAAAAAGTCTATAATGTTAGATTCCATTTATATGAAGTTCAAAGCAGAAAAACATGGGTTTACAGTGCCAGAAATCAAAACATTTTCCCATGCAGGAGTTGACCGCAGGCACAGCGGAAGACCTGTGTTGGGGGAGGGACTTGCTCTTCAGCTACCTGGGACCTGTCCTATCTTCAGTGGGTCCCGAGCGCCCCCTGGTGGCCACGCGCACCCCTGCAAGGAGGTTTGTGTCTGGGCTCACACTGACCTCCCCTCACTGTGTCTGTGGTACAGTAATACACGGCCGTGTCCTCGGTTTTCAGGCCGCTCATTTGCAGATACAGTGTGTTCTTTGAATCATCTCTTGAGATGGTAAATCTGCCTTTCACAGCTGCAGCATATTCTGTGGTGTAACTGTTAGCCTTGTTTCTTATTAAACCTACCCACTCTAGCCCTTTCCCTTGAGCCTGGCGGACCCAGTACATGTAGTAGTTACTGAAGGTGAATCCAGAGGCTGCACAGGTGAGTCTCAGGGACCCCCCAGGCTGCACCAAGCCTCCCCCAGACTCCACCAGCTGCACCTCACACTGGACACCTGGAAACACAGAAACACCAAGGTCAGAAACCGCCACACATATCCACTGTTTCTCTCACTCATGTCCATTCACACCCAATCTATTTCTCCATGAATCACCTTTTAAAATAGCAACAAGGAAAATCCAGCTCAGCCCAAACTCCATGGTGAGTCCTCTGTGTTGAGTGCTGATCACTGAGTGGAAACGCCTGGGAATCCCGGGGCTGGGGCTCCTCTCCCAGAGCTGCAGGGTCAGGGCTGGGCTGCTTTTCATCAGCAATGGGAGGGACCCCATTTGCATGTCTCCTACTATATAGTGAGTTCTGGAAGGGATGCCTCAGAGTGGGCTGTGTCCCAGAGTGGATGTGATTATATGTCATAAATAATTAATTCTCATTAACATGTCTACTTTTAGATGCACATGAATTATGCTCCGTGAGAGTCAAATTTTCCTTCATTTACAGATATGAATGTAAACCCCCAAGTATGGAGGGGGCCATGTGACATGTCTAAGAGCTCAATCTGGTAAGAGCTATTCTCAGTGTCTGGCCTGTGTTTCTCAGGGCTGGATCCAACTGCTCCCTAAATTAACTCTAGGACACAGCAAGAAATTCCCAGTGAGGTTTACAAAAACCTCTTAATATAATGATATCGTGATATAATTTGGTTGTATCTTAGTGTTTTTCTAAACAATACAGAAAAACTGAGGATTAATTTGCATGTGTATTCAGAAGTCTATGGCTTTTCTTGTATTATTTTTCTCTCTCTCTTAATCTTTTTCTACCAAATTATACTTTTATATTTAATAAGGTAATATTGGCAAATTATAATCTTCACCTAATATGTTCTCAATTTGACAAATACTGACATAATCATCACCATTCACAGAGAAAACAAATCAATTTGCCTCACAATTTTCTCTTTTTCTCCTGCAATTTCCCCTTCCTCCACCTTCCCTCCTCTTACCATGGAGAAGTCAGTTAGGGATCTTTTCTATGTAACTTGCAATGAGTATTCACTGTGTACAGTTTATAAAACATAATCACATGTATGTGATTTGATTCATTATACTCATCATATGTACTTGTGAATTGAACCACGCTGTTGATCGTATCCAACACTAATAGATTGCAGTAGTGGGTACTATTCCAATAAACGACTTTTACTGATAAAGCTGCTGATTAATATTTGGATTATTTTCAGTTTCTGTGTATTTCAAATAAAGCTGCTGCCCAGCTTAGAGAAGCACACAGCTGAGAAACATGTTCTTAATCTTACAACAACATGAACAACAGCTAAACTGGTCAAGTTGCAAAAGAACCAATTTGCTTTAATGTATCAGGTAATTAAAGTTATAGCACCTGTGTGTTTGTCAGTGTATATGAGAGAAAGAAAAAGGGAGGAAAGGAGACTGAAAAAAGATAATTATTAATTTATGAAATCTTCAAATACAGGGACTTTATTCCTAATGAATGGGCTCCACTTAAGTTCAAGTTGAGGTTGAAGAGACTAACATATGGCTATATATTTATAATATAAATATTATTCTCTAAACACAAAAACACTCATGTAGGGAAAAGAGAGATCAGACCATTACTGTGTCTATGTAGAAAGGAAAGACATAAGAAATTCCATTTTGACCTGTACCTTGAACAATTGCTTTGCTAAGATGAAGTTAATTTGTAATTTTGCCCCAGTCACTTTGCCCCAGCCACTTTGCCCCAACTTTGAGCTCACAAAAACATGTGTTGTATGGAATCAAGGTTTAAGGGCTGTGCAGGACGTGCCTTGTTAACAAAATGCTTACAAGCAGTATGCCTGATAAAAGGCATCGCCATTCTCTAGTCTCAATAAACCAGAGGCACAATGTACTGTGAAAAGCTGCAGGGACCTCTGCCTTGGAAATCCGGGTATTATCCAAGGTTTCTCCCCATGTGATAGTCTGAAATATGGCCTCGTGGGATGAGAAAGACCTGCCCATCCCCCAGCCCGACACCCATAAAGGGTCTGTGCTGAGGTGGATTAGTGAAAGAGGAAAACCTCTTGCAGTTGAGTTAGATGAAGGCCACTGTCTCCTGCCTGTCCCTGGGAACTGAATGTCTAGGTATAAACCCCGATTGTACATTTCTTCACTTCTGAGATAGGAGAAAAGCCGCCCTATGGCGGGAGATGAGACATGTTGGCAGCAATGCTGCTTTGTTATTCTTTACTCCACTGAGATGTCTGGGCAAGAAGGAAACACAAATCTGGCCTATGTGCGCATCCAGGCATAGTACCTCCCCTTGAACTTAATTATGACATTGATTCTTTTGCTCACATTTTTTTTGCTGACCTTCTTATTATTATCACCCTGCTCTCCTACCACATTTCTCTTGCTGAGATAATGAAAATAATAATAAAGACTGAGAGAACTCAGAGACTGGTGCTGGTGCAGGTCCTCCGTATGCTGAGTATCGGTCTCCTGGGCCCACTGTTGTTTCTCTATACTTTGTCTCTGTGTCTTATTTCTTTTCTCAGTCGTTCATCACACCTGATGAGATATACCCACAGATGTGGAGGGGCAGGCCACCCCTTCATCTGTCACCGAATGTGGGTGCCTTTCTCTAGGGTGAAGGTACGCTAAGAACGTGAGCATGGAGGACAGTCGACGAGAGATTCCTGAGTATGTCCACGGTCAGCCTTGCGGGAAGCTTGTGCACTTGGAGGAATCCAGGTAACAATGGGGCGAACTGAAAGTAAATGTGCCTCTTGTCTCAGCTTCATTAAAGTTCTCTTAGGAAGAGGGGGAGTTAAAGCTTCTGCAGAAAATCTAATTACGCTATTTCACACAATAGAAAAATTCTGCCCATGGTTTCCAGAACAGGGAACTTTAGATCTAAAAGACTGGGAAAAAATTGGCAAAGAATTAAAACAAGCAAGTAGAGAAGGTAAAATCATCCCACTTACAGTATGGAATGATTGGGCCATCATTAAAGCAACTTTAGTACCATTTCAAATAGAAGAAGACAGGGTTTCAGTTTCTGATGCCCCTAAAAGCTGTGTAATAGATTGTGAAGAAGAGGCAGGGACAGAGTTCAAGAAAGGAATGGAAATTTCACATTGTAAAAATGTAGCAGAGCCGGTAATGGCTCGGTCAATGAAAAACGTTGACTATAATCAATTACAGGAGGTGATATATCCTGAATCATCAAAATTGAGGGAAGGAGGTCTAGAATTATTTGGGCCATCAGAGTCGAAACCACGACGGCCATCAACTCCTCCTCCTGCAGTTCAGATGCCTGTGACATTAAAATCTCAAATGCAGTTTAGACAAGTACAAACCCCAAGAGAATATCAAGTAGAAAAGGTTAGAGTTTCTATGCCGGCAATGCCCGTCTGGACACAGTATCCACAATATCAGTCGGTAGAAAATAAAACCCAACCACCGGTAGGTTATCAATACCGGCCGCCAGCCGAATTTCAGTATCGGCCGCCTACAGAGGTTCAGTATAGATCTCAGGCGGTGTGTCCTGTGCCAAATAGCAGGGACCGTATCAGCAACCCACGGCGACGGCGTTTGATCCTACAGCACCACCTAGTGGACAAGGTAGTACACTGCATGAAACCATTGATACTGCCGGAAAACAGGGAGATCTGGAGGCATGGCAGTACTCGGTAACTTTACAACTGATACCGGCGGGGAAAGGGAGTCAAGCAGGAGCGTCTGCCCGAACTGAGCCTAGATATGAATCTTTCACCATGAAAATGTTAAAAGATATGAAGGAAGGAGTTAAACAACATGGACTCAACTCTCCTTATATGAGAACATTATTAGATTCCACTGCTCATGGAAATAGACTTATTCCTTATGATTGGGAAATTTTGGCTAAATCTTCCATTTTACCCTCTCAGTTTCTACAGTTTAAAACCCGGTGGATGGATGGAGTACAAGAACAGGTATGGAAAAATCAGGTCACTTATCCTGTTGTTAATATAGATGCAGACCAATTGCTAGGAACAGGTCCAAATTGGAGCACTATTAACCAACAATCAGTAATGCAGAATGAGGCTACTGAACAACTAAGGGCTATGTGCCTCAGGGCCTGGGAAAAAATTCAGGACCCAGGAACCACCTGCCCTTCTTTTAATTCAATCAGACGAGGCTCTAAAGAGCCACATCCAGACTTTGTAGCAAGGTTGCAAGATGCCGTTCAAAAATCTATTGCAGATGATAATGCCCGAAAAGTTGTTGTAGAAATAATGGCTTATCAAAATGCAAATCCAGAATTTCAATCGGCCATAAAACCATTAAGAGGAAAAGTTCCAGCAGGAGTTGATGTAATTACAGAATATGTGAAGGCTTGTGATGGGATTGGAGGAGCTATGCATAAGGCAATGCTAATGGCTCAAGCAATTACAGGCATTGCTTTAGGAGGACAAGTTAGAACGTTTGGGGGAAAATGTTATAATTGTGGTCAAATCGGTCATCTAAAAAAGAATTGACCAGTCTTAAATAAACAGAGTTAAAATAAAGAGCCACCTGACCTATGTCCGAGATGTGGAGAAGGAAAACATTGGGCTAAGGAATGTCATTCTAAATTTGATAAAAATGGGCAACCGTTGTTGGAACGGGAAGAGGGGCCAGCCTCAGGTCCTGCAACAAAGTGGGGCGTTTCTGATTCAGCCATTTGTTCCTCAGGGTTTTCAGGGACAACAACCCCCACAGCAAATATCACCATCTCAGGGAGTCAGCCAATTACAACAATACAACTGCTGTCCCCTGCCACAGCAGGCAGCGCAGCAGGAGATTTATGTTCTACTCAAAGGGTTTCTTTGCTCCCTGGAGAGCCCCCACAAAAGATTCCTACAGGGGTATATGGCCCACTGCCAGAAGGGACGGTAGGCCTCATTTTAGGAAGATCAAGTCTAAATCTGAAGGGAGTCCAAATTCATACTGGGGTAATTGATTCAGATTATAAAGGGGAAATTCAGTTAGTGATCAGTTCCACTGTTCCCTGGAGTGCCAATCCAGGCGATAGACTTGCTCAATTACTGCTTTTGCCTTATGTTAAAATTGGGGATAGCAAAACAAAAAGAATAGAAGGGTTTGGAAGTACCAATCCTGCTGGAAAAGCTGCTTACTAGGCTAGTCAGGTCTCAGAGAATAGACCTGTGTGCACAGTCACTACTCAGGGAAAGCAGCTGAAGAATTAGTGGATACTGGGGCTGATGTTT